GGATTGGCATAGATGTTAGTGCAGAGCCGGTCTTCCTCACAAAATAAATAAATAAAATAAAATAAAATAAAAATAAATGGTATGGGACTAGCCCTTGGTGGCCTGGTGGTTAAGTTCAGCGCACTCCACTTCGGCGTTCCGGGTTAGGTTCCCGGGTGTGGACCTTCACTGCTCGTTGGTGGCCATGCTATACTGGCGGGCCCACATACTAAAAGAAGTAGAGGAAGATTGGCACGGATGTTAGCTCAGGGCAAATCTCCTTCAGCAAGATAGATAAATAGTGTGTTTCTCGTTACTTAATATATATGAGGCAGGCCCTGACTTAGAAATTTCCTCAACGTCTTCCAACCAGTGACGTTTAATAAACAACATAGAACAGGACAATAATTCTACAAGGATTTAAAAGCCACTAAGACTTGGTGCCTAGATTTTTTTCAAAATATCTGTTAAGCCATGCTTTCAAAATTATGCCCTGTGTTTAGGTTTAGCTGTTTATGCAATATTTTAGATCTGGTGGTTAAGATGGAATTAAAGTTATCTTAGGTGTATGCCTGTAATAGTAAACAGTATTACTTGGAATATATTCAGAATTTCTTTAAAAGAACCTAGAAAAATATACATACCATGAACTATTCTTTTGGAATTCTCTCTCTTCAGCTAAGTGTTAGGCGGAAAAATACCAAAGAGATGTTTGGTGGCTTTTTCAAAAGTGTGGTGAAAAGTGCTGATGAAGTCCTTTTTTCTGGAGTTAAGGTAAGTGGCTTTTAGTTTTAGAAAATTCTTGACTTCATGTTAATACATGGCCTTTTTCTTCAGAAGAGGGACTTGTGAAACAAATGGTGTTACTTTCTCAGAAATGTAAATAAATGTGAAAAAATTTTATTTTCATCTACTCATTGCATTTTCGCTTATTTTCCCAAAATACCCTATTCTCTCCCAGGAGAAAGGGGTAAGAACCTTCCCACACTTAAGTGTTTATTTTCTCCTTTTCTGTAAGGAGAGATATTACTCAATTATTATTATTATTATTTGACTTTTTTTTATTGATGTCTTAATAGTTTATAACATTGTGAAATTTTGGTTGTACATTGTTGTTTGCCAATCACCATATATATGCCTCCCTTCACCCCTTGTGCCCACCTCCCTACCCTCTTGCCCCTGGTAACCACTGTACAGTTTTCTCTGTCCGTGTGTTGGTTTATATTCCACATATGAGTGAGATCATGCAGTGTTTGTCTTGCTCTCTCTGTGTTATTTCACTTAACATAATACCCTCCAGGTCTATCCATGTTGTTGCAAATGGGATGATTTTGTTTTTTTGTTGTTTTTTTTTTATGGCTGAGTAGTATTCCATTGTATATATATACCACATCTTGTTGATCCACTCATCGGTCGAGGGACACTTGGGTTGCTTCCACTTCTTGGCTATAGTGAATAATGCTGCAGTGAACATAGGGGTGCATAAGCCTCTTTGGATTGTTGATTTCAGGTTTGTTGGATAGATTCCTAGTAGTGGGATAGCTGGATCATAGGCCATCTCTATTTTTAATTCTTTGAGGAATCTCCATACTGTTTTCCATAGAGGCTGCACCAGTTTGCATTCCCACCAGCAGTGTATGAGGGTTCCCATTTCTCCACATCCTCTCCAACATTTGTTGTTTTTTGTCTTGGTGATTATAGCCATTCTAACAGGTGTGAGGTGATATCTTAGTGTTTCAGTTATTTTTAAAAAGAAAATAAGCTACAAGATCAGTATTTCATGCCGTTCTCCAGAACTACACTGTCCGTTTTGGTAGCCTCAGCCACATGTGGCAGTTGAGCACCTGATACATAGATAGCTTGTGCAATTAAGGAGTTAAATTTTTAGTTTTATTTACCTGCTGGATTTTAGGGACTTGATACCAAGAAAAGAATATAAAGTATCTCACTAATATTTTCATGTTTTGGATATACTGAGTTAAGTAAAATATTAAAAGTAATTTCACCTGTTTCTTTTTATGATGTGACTACTGGAAAACTTTTAAATGGCACCTGTGGTTCACATATTTCTGTTAGTGCTGTTCTAGAAAATCAAAATAATATACAGTCTCTTATAGGTGTGATTTATTTCTTTACTCCTCAGCCCCTTCCTCCCCCCTTTTTAACTGAGTTACCTTAACAGTTACTATCTGGTATCTGACTTTGCCACTTGAGGACTTGAGTAAGGAGCCCAGAATATAGGTGCTCAGTAGAGAGGGCATTGTCAGAAATTTGGAAACTCTTGGACCATCTCATTGGCTTAGTTTAAAGTGTGCAGGACTGTCCTCTACCCATGCATTGCAGAAAGGTTGATATCCCTGGCCATGCCCACCAGATGCCGGTATTGCCTTCCAGTCTGGAACCAGCCAAATCCCCCACCCCCTAGTTTTACTGGGCATTGCCAAATGGCTATTCAAAATGGTTCTCTCTGTTGACATTTCCTGCCAGCACTTGATATTTGCTGATACTGAGTATGAAATGGTATCTTGTCAGTTATTTTCCTGGTCTATAGAGGTTAAAGTTCTTAAGAATAAGCTTATTTCCTTAATGTTCTAATATAAAGTACATATAGTCTTAAAAGTTGTGCTTCTTAAATTTCTTTTTTCTTTCCCTTTTAGGAGGTAGATGACTTCTTTGAGCAAGAGAAAAATTTCCTCATTAACTATTATAATAGGATCAAGGATTCGTGTGCAAAAGCTGACAAAATGACCAGATCTCATAAAAGTAAATACCATTCATCCATTAGCCACTTAGCTTTGCTAATGTGCCAGCTCTGTTCCTCTAAAAAGGGCTGTCGTTGTTTCTGTAGATGTTGCAGATGACTATATCCACACTGCAGCCTGTCTGCATAGCCTGGCTTTAGAAGAGCCCACGGTCATCAAAAAGTAAGTTTCTATTAGAAAAGCATTTCCCCTAATCTCTTAATCTAAAACCTCTGGGTGGTGTCATGAAAAGTCTAGTGAGTAGACTATATAGTTTCAGTTCTGCTCTTGAGTACAAGCTCATCAAGGGTAGACGATAGTCTCCAGCACTCAAATCTTACACACCCTCTGAACATAGCAGACACTTCTAGGATGTTTGTAGGGGACTCAGAGGGCACTTCTATACCAAATGTGGTACTGTCAAAGCCTTTATTTCTGTCAAGCTTACATGTCTCCATTTCTTGTTATTTTAGTTTTGAAGTTGTCTTGGAGTAAAGTTTGCCTTGTGTGTTCATTGGCAAATGGTGCTTGCCGCTTTACCTGGTAGTACCTTGGACTGACTTGAAGAGATTTGGGTTAAGGTGGTCATAAGGATAATGTAATGATCCCAGTCTGATCCTGAGCTTTTTTTATGTGAATTTTTCAGTTTCTCCATCTTGGGTATTTCTGGTGTAAGACCAGTATTCTACTTAATACTGAGCCTTGGTATAATAGGTGGTAATATTTCTGATTTGAAAGTGGAAGTCAAGCTAATGTCAGAACCAAGATGAAATAGTAGCATATTTATGGCTTTGAAACACCCAAGGTAGTAGCTCATTAGAATTTGACCTTGCTTAAACAGTTTTTACACTGGATAAGAACTATCTTGGGGATACAGGTTCCGCATGGCAAGATGGCTGAAGGGGCACCAAGGGAAGGCTGATGCCCATGAGTGTGGCACTGTAAATGTGCTCGATTTTGTAACCAACTTTACTAGATTGGGTCAGTGTGATGAAAATACTACTTTGGTAAGTTAATTAATTCCAAAGTAGCAAAGGCTATGACTCTTGAATTTACCCATTTGTGTCTTTAGAGTATTGATGGGATCATATTTCATACATGATTCAAGACCTCAACCCAAAATCATGTGTATATTTTCAGGTACCTATTGAAGGTTGCCGAGCTTTTTGAAAAACTTAGGGTAAGGGTTTTTATGTTGGTCTTATAATATATATTTTATAATCTGTAGCTTTCTGCTTAAATGATGGTGACCTTTACTTTTTTAAATAGAAAGTAGAGAGTCGGGTCTCCTCAGATGAAGATTTAAAGCTGACGGAGCTCCTCCGATACTACATGCTGAACATAGAGGCTGCAAAGGTGAGATGGGCGCTCTTGACTCCTCAGTAGTGCAAGACCGCCTTGCCATGACCCAGAAGATGTCTAATGTTAGAGATGGATTCAGACAGGAATTTGTCAGGATTGTTTGTATGAGTGATGTCAGTCTAAAGAGGTAAACTGAGGCAAGCTTGAATTACCAGAAATTGAGTTTATTCAGGAATAGCAGAAAAATTGCGATTTGTAGCAATTTGTAGCGATGTTGTAGCAAGCTGCAGGTGAGTCTTTTGATGGCTTGTGGTGGGCTGTATTTATGGGTCAGGAGTGCAAGAAGAGAAAGTCCAGCCGGAGTCGAAGAGTAAGTTCACTGGTGGCTGTTCGTTGGTCCGGAGATAAGTCTTGGGCTTCTGTAAATCAGGCATTTACGAGAAATCAGTCTCTCGGTTAAATTTCCTTCTGAGGGCACATGAATGAGATTCTCCATTTCCTATCCTCCAGTTCCATTTTAGGTTGAAATCTTTTCATAAGGATATGCCTTTTCGTGGCATTGTATCCTTACTTTGTGTTGCTTGGGAGCAGGAGGGGTAGTGCTGGGTAGACAGATAATGGTTTGGGGGATTATAGGTTATTGGATGCAGGACATAACTAAACTCAAGCCCCGAGGGCCATTTCTGAGGCAAAAAAGTTTTTGCGGTTTGTGAGATTTTATTGAATTGCAGTGATCACTTCAGCCTTTGAGTCCTAAAGCATTGCTTATCAGAAGCAAGACTAAGTGATAAGCAGAATGACCTTTGGGAATGAAACAAGCTTTCTTTACTGTCTACACTGCCCTGAACAAAAATGTTTAAATTATTTTTGTACAAAATGTGCTAGATCAGGCAACATAAAATTAGATAGGGAAAATGTCAGGAAGTTGAAATTCATTATTTTCCCCATATTTTGGTTTTATTTTCGTTAATTTGTCTTTCGGCATGTTCCTTAGTCTTATTTGGATGTATGTTTTACGCAGTTTAGACTGTATCTTTTATAGTTTATCTTCTACTTTAATGGACGTGAGAGCTGACAAAAAAACACTCAAGTTTTTGAGTGTGCACAACAGTAGACATAGTTGTATATTGAACCTCATGTATCTGTCATACTGCATTATAACTTCCCATTTTAGATACTGAGGTAACTTGTAGTTTGCTATAAGATTGCAAAGAATGTTTATTTCAGATTAGTTCCTCAGGGTAGATCCGTAGAGGTGGGATTTGCAGGATGGGGTGGGTCATAAGAATGTTTCTTACTACTTCATTGCCCAGGTGCATTCTAGCAGCATCACTTGACTCACCCAGCAGTAACTATGTTCTGGTACACAGTGGTTAATTTTCTGAAATTACTTTCCATAATTGAAGCAACTAGAAAAAAAATCCTTTAGTCTTTACTGTTGGGGGTCTTTTCTTGATCCGTATAAAGAATTCTGAAAAAGTTCTCCACGGTGCTATACAAGTCGCTGTTCCCAGCCTAATTTTGAGATTAAAAATAGTAATGGGGAGGGGTGGGGGTAGAGGTAGGTTAGATTAGATTCTTGTGGTCTAACGTTTCAGGCAGTGCACTGGCACCGTGGTACTTGGCCTGTGTTTGGAGTAGGTTAGATATTTAGTCTTTCTGTTTTGTTCTCTAGAGATTTTGTAGGATAGGTTTAACTACCATGTCATGTCTGTTAATTTTCTTTTCAGGATCTTTTATACAGACGCACTAAAGCCCTCATTGACTATGAGAACTCAAACAAAGCCTTGGATAAGGCCCGGTTAAAAAGCAGAGACGTCAAGCTGGCTGAAGCGCACCAGCAGGAATGCTGCCAGAAATTTGAACAGCTTTCTGAATCTGCAAAAGAAGGTTGAGCAGGGCCACTCTTGACTTTTTGCTTTTTATTTGAAAATAATTTGAAGCTTCCAGAGAGATGGCACAAATAGTGCAGAGAACACCCATACATCCTTTACTTGGAGTCACCTAGCTATCCACAGTTTGCCCATTTGTCACTTGCACATGCATGCATGCTCCCACGTGTTTTTATACACACATCTGGTTTTTTTTAACCGTTTGAGATTAAGTTGTATATATCATGCTGCTTTTATTCCTAAAATTTTTGTTGTGTATTTCTCGTACATCCCTAGAGTACAGTTATCAACTTCGTTGAACATTGATACAATACAGTCTACTGTCTGCATTCTCATTTTGTTGTCCCAATAATGGCCTACAGATTAGGATTGCATATGGTTATCATAGCTCTTAAGTCTCCTTTAATTTGGAAGGAACCCTTCTCAGCCTTTTTTTCTCAATGACATTTGCCCTTTTGAAGACCATAATCTCTTTTTACAAATAGAATGTTGCTCACTTTTCAGTTAGTCTGTTTCCTCATGATTAGATTCTTGTCATGCGTTTCTAACGGAATACTACGTAAATAATCCGTCCTTCTTAGGGTATGACATCTGTGGGCGTGTTGTGTCCATTTTCCCTTTATTTGTGGTGTTAGTTTTGATTACTCAATTAGATGTCCAATATTTCTCCATTGTGTAGCTAATATTTTTTTCCCATGCCACTAATTAGCAATCTGAGGGAGACTATTTAAGACGCATATATCCTACTAAAACTTTCTCCCTAAATTTAGCCTGTGTTGATGATTCTTGCCTGAGCCAGCCTTTACTCTGGTGGTTGCATGAAGGCGTTTTCCCCCCTCCCGCAATTCTAGCATTCTTTGTCCAAGTTAGCACTTGGCATTGTCCTTTAAGCACACGCCTTCGCTTTCCCACATTTCCTTCTTGGTCACCTTTATTAGAGTCATGGATTCCTATTTTTGAAAATAGTTTTAAAATTCCTTATTATACCAAGTTATTTTAGTGCTCAAATAGACCAGACTGAGCCAGTGGGAGCGCCTTTAAGTTGGCGTGTCCTCATGGTGGTCCCATTCTTTTGAGCAGTTAGTGTTTTGTGCTCATCTTACCTTTCTACTCTAGCTCTGGAAATCACTATTTCAGGGCTGGCCCGGTGGCGTAGCGGCTAAGTGTGCCTGCTCCACTTCGGTGACCCGGGGTTCGTGGGTTCAGATGCTGGGCGCACACTGGCGCACCGCTCATCAAGCCATGCTCTGGCGGTGTCCCATATAAAGTAGAGGAAGATGGGCACGGATGTTAGCCCAGGGCTAATCTTCCTCAAAAAAAAAAAAAAAAAACCACGAAAGAAATCATTTCTCCTGGGTTTTTTTTACTTACGGAATAGTAACAAGATTTGGGTGCTAAGTATGCTCATTGCTCCTGGGGTGTCTCTGCCTCTGTGCCCTTCAGCTGCCTGTTAGGAAATGTAGGGGTATATGCACATGCACACAGGTCAACACACACACAGTCTCTCTCCCTCCCTCACTCTCCCTCCCTCCCTCACTCTCCCCCTCCCTCTCTCTCCCCCTCCCTCTCTCTCTATCCCCCCTCCCCGCCCCTCTGGAGGTAAAGACCATCCTCCAGAATGTAATGTAATGATAGTAGGACTCGCTTGGTTGACCCTGAAAATACTCCTCTACCTCTTCAAAACTCAGGTTTCCCTGGGAAATCCCTATCTCATTTTAAGACTTTATTTTCTCAGAACTTTTTTCCTCTCCCGTAGTTTTGAAATCTAGGCATATCTGGAAATGTCCTGATAATAGCAGTGAGCACTAGAGTTATACTTCTTTGTCTCCTCCGTTCATTTCTATTCAGGACTGTGATGCCTTAACTGTAAGGGACAGAGCTGCTCTCTATGAAAACTTTGCAAATGGCATGCAGACATGCTCACATGGCTGCCTTGGATTCTTTCAAAGGAACCTCCTTGTTGCCCTATTGTTAAAATCTTGGCCTTTTTTTAACACCTAATTTAAATTTATAAGGAAAAGAACACAGTTCATAATTACTGAGTTGAAATCTTAGGTTATTATGTAGGCCAGAGTTTAGTGGCTCTGACAGTTTTAGAGGGGATTAAAGAAAAACTACAAAGCTTTAAAATGGTGCCAATTTAGGCCTATCCTTATTGCCTAAGGTTTATTCCTGTGTTGTTAGATTTTATCCTCTTCCTTCAATATGAAAGCCTGGGCGTATGGTATTTAAAAGTACAGAAATACAGTATTCTGTAGAATACTGAGATGAGTGGGTCTTAATCTGTTTGCCTTTGGTCCAAGTTCTAAGGTTTGTGGCTGAGCTGAATAGTCAGTTGAACGAGCATAGTACAAACGATGGTGTGGGGGGAGACAGGCTGGGTCCTGGTCCTGAGGAACGAGGCCCAGAGGAAGGAAGTGAGCTTATCTTGAGATCTGAGAAGACCTAGTATATCCAAGGTATTGTCATTAACACATCACTATAAAAATTTTGTGCAAGTTTTTACTTGTTAATGTGGCTGCTTGCATTATGTTTCTGCTGGGCAGTGCTGTATAGATGTAGTGATACAGGAGGGTGAGTTTGCTCCTGAGTACCTTGGAGTACCAGCTTGAGCTGTGGAGAGTTGTGACCACAGGAGTGATGATGAGAGCTGCAAGGCAGAGAGCTTAAGTTCACAAGTTTATGGAGGGAATTAGAAGGGAGTAAGTACATATTTTTGGTTTACCCTGATTTCTAATAGAGCATTAATCCTGAATTCTGATGGTGGCGATAGGAAAGGAAAGGATAGATGTAAAGGTGGCATGGCCTAGAGATCGTATCTACCGAAAAGCTGTCTGAACATGAGAGTAGCAGTTTTCAAAGTTTAAAAATAACACATTAAAAAGCAAAAACAAAAAAGCCATTGGTGTAAGTATGTGGGGCTCACACCTCCCAGGCCCTGTCTCCACAAGCACTGGTACCTAGAGGTTAAGGGCGAGGTTGCTCAGTTCAGAGATGCTCCAAGTAGTCAATGGCCATTCTCCGAATTTTGATGGTCGTGTGATTGGGTGGTGGTGCTCATTTAAAGACTTGGCAAGCACATCACTATGGTGTCCACAGAATGTCTGGTATGTGTCCCAATCATAGAGATAATAAAAATATGATGCATCAAACCTTTGGATCATTTATTGTAAGAATGATATTTGAAAGTTAAAGATGAAAATTCTCAACTTTTCTTGGTAAACTTTCTTTTATAGAACTAATCAATTTCAAACGAAAGAGAGTGGCAGCATTTAGAAAGAATCTAATTGAAATGTCTGAACTGGAAATAAAGCATGCCAGGGTAAGTGTTTTTTTCAAATTAAGCCAGCAGCTTTAGGGTTTCTTCCGCAGTTATTTCCCAATTCACTATCCCAGTTTCATCAGGCAGATGGGGTTTGCTCTTGTGGTTTTAATCCCGTGTAATGTAGGTGGGAGCCACTTGTTCGATTATTTAGCACAGAAAAGATGGAGAACAGTGGGTCTCAATGCTGGGTGCACATTAGAATCCACTAGGGAGCTTTTAAGAATTTTAGAAGCCCGGACCCATTCGCTCAGAATTTCTGGGGATGGCTCTTTGGGTGGTTCCTGGGTGTAGCCAAGATTGATCCCCAGAGTGCTATTGATCCAGGGCAACTGGGTTAGCCCTTGGGTCAGCAGGGAGCCACTGTCACTGGCCATTAACATTGGTTAAAGCAAGAAGACTTGGAAGATTTGTGTGTATTTTGAATTCCTTTATTTTGATTACAACGTAGATGTGTTTATTCACTTGCTTAAGTGAAAGTCCTGCTGTGTATGACCTTTTAAGTTAGACTTTAAAGTATCATTTATATATAAATCGTACCCATACTGTTCTGGGTGTTGCTAAGTTTTCTGAATTCCTTACAAGTGAGAACTTTGTAAAGCAATTTGTGCAAAGTTCTATATCAATATTTATCTTTTATTAATCTCATTTATAATCTTACCCATTACTAATTTTTAGCAACTTTTTCTCCAGTCTTTCCAAGGCCTTTAACATCAAAGAACAACTTATTTATATAGATAGCATTTAGGTTAAGTCACAGTAAGCAGAATTGTCAAGACTGCATTGGGAACAAAGCGCTGGGGGGGGGCGTGGAGGTGCTGGAGGGGCGACCACTAGCCCCTTTGCTGTGAGCCTCCCTCAGGCAGCACTCCCAGACCCTCTGAGGGAGAGGAACTCGCCAACATGAAATTGGGGTGAGAGGGTTAGGTTGTGGTTCAGTTGTGATTTAATGAAGAAAAGCGTCAAGCCAGTTCAGTTGGCTTCAGATAGGTTGTGAAAAGCTAAGTTGGTGAGTTTGAGTTTAATTCTTACAGATATATAGGAAGTCTTGGCCTCGATGGCGAGTTGTTGGTCTGCTTTGTTGTTTTTCTTCCAGAACAATGTCTCCCTCTTGCAGAGCTGTATTGACCTGTTCAAGAACAACTGATCTGCCTCTTCTGAGTGAAGGATGTGAATGTGAAGAAAGCCAGCATCACTTGCACTTAAATCATTGCCACAGAAGATTTATTACCTTTGACTTCAGTTTAAAATTATGTGAATAAATATTTTGATTTCTAAAAATCTTTTTAACACTTAACCGTGTTGGTTTAAAAATATTTCTATTTCCTGCTATTTGGACATAACCATTTCCTTATGCATTTAATACCTCAAAGTGAGCAGAATCTGAATACTGGATTCTCCTGTAATTTGTCTTTAGTTGTTAAGAAAGGGTGCAGGAAACATGTGCCTTCTAGAAACAAGTACAAGCAAATTGCCTGGCACACATCGTCTTCACTGTTTCATGTGCCCATGACCCTACAAACCAGTTACTTTAGGGTAGGTGCCAATTACAACAAATAATTCAGCTACTTGTTACAGTTAACATAGACATTCCATTCCTTAACTAGATAATTTCTCACTCTTACTCATGGTTCTTTAGTCACCTCAAATGTTTGTAGTATAACAAGAGAAGGAAAATCTCATTTGTCTTTATACACCCTTTGCAGCTCCATTTTTGTAGTGGGGATGTAAATATTGGAGGGGAGAGAAGTAGCTTGAGAGGATAAAAACAAATACTACGGGCTGCTTTAGAAGATCACAGATCTACATTAAGATGTGAACCCTCTCCCTAATGGTAGTGGGGGTATAAGTGTGTGGACTTTTTATAAAGTGTATAATAAAATAATAAACCATGCTACCACATGGAGTGTTTTTGTGGGAAACACGGCCAAGAGTACCCCTAGACTGCGGTTGCAGCTAAGCCGTGGCAGGGGTGAGAGCTTCGCTATGTGCCCAGGGTCCTAGCCTCCTGTCTTAACACTTGTGAAGCCTATAGGCCAGGGTTTGTTGAGAAGGTCCCCAGAGCTGGGTTTGTCTGCTCATGATTCGATGCAGACTTGCATTTTTGACAGACTTGAACACAAGTGATGCTGTGTCCTGGGAAGGATATGGGTCCCATCGTTGGTGATGACTGAGCACTTATGGTGGTGCCTGCCCGGTTTTCCCCTGGTGAAGTTGCACATCTTATAAGACCTTTGTAATTAACTATTGGGAAGATGCTTTGAGACGCGTGTAGAAAATCTTTACCCGCCACTGTTGGCCTCTGTTCTTGTTTTAATCAGTTGCAACTGGTGTGAGGGTTGCAGAACTTTGATATTTGAACACCATGGGGAGCATTTTTTCTTAAACTGGTATTGCATTCTTGCCTCCCAACCAGTTACAGGTAATTAAAATTTACTGCACGGGCCAGACACGGTAGCTTCTCTCTTCATGTTACATATTTGGAAAGTATGCTGCATAAAATGAGTGAACTGAAACAGTTGTAACTCCAGTCTGGGTTCCTAACCACATCTCTCTCTAACCAGTCACCCCTCTACTGGCTCTAGTAGCACAAGTGTTAACGTGTGGTTGGGGTGGGCGACTCTTAGTGTGTACCTGTGTGGCACCTGGTCCCAGAAGCTCTGGCTAGTTGCTTCAGGGTTTGACTGGGACCTCGTAGCACTTTGGACTAGGTCTATTGCCGAGTGTCAGGCGGCTGGGACATGGGTTCCAGTACTGACCCTGCTTGCTGAGTGACCTAAGCATGCACCTGCCCTGAACCAGACAAATCTGTAAGCTGCAGCAATACTTTGTACCCCTCAATTTTATACCGGCGATCTTGAATACAGACTTGGGCACGATTCTAGGTGTTTATCTTCTGCACTATTGGCTCAAAGATAATTTTTTAAAGTCGTAATTGTGTCTGATGGTCATTCATGAAATTCCACGGGGGTCTGAGTGGATGGGGATGTTTCTAGCCCCTTCCCTTTCCTGCCCACGTCAAAGAAGCAGTCACTGTCTTTGTGTGCAGTCTGGTATTCGGTGTTTCTGAGGAACCAGGTGAGCTGGCTGGAGAGTTAGCCAACATCCTGAAACATGAAGGTAAGGCAGTGTGGGACTAGGTGCCACCATGCTCTACCTGCTCCAGAGCCTGTGGGCAGGGGAGCACAGAGCAAAGGGCAGGCAGCTTCTGTATGAGCCTCGGCAGGAGGAGAAGCCGGGTGGGAAACTAGCTGCTGAGGAGCCTTCCAAGAGTGCAGGTGGGCTTAGGTAGAACATTTTGAAATGTTTTTCTTAAAGCCAATGGGTGAGTTGAGGCCACTTCAGAATGCTATGTGGGGAGGGTTTTGTTGGGGTGTCTGAAAGCCTCAGTGGGAGTGTGCCATCAGGTTGAGGGTTACCTTGAGAGCCTTGACAGCTAGTGATCGTAGGAAGGCTGTGTTGTAGCACACACAGCTGCAGTGCATAGGTAGTGCATTTTCCCTGAAGGAGGATGAGGGAGTGCAGACCCCCCCATGATCCGTAAAGCTTTGGTAGAAACTCGAGGTCAGTTAATGCCTTTCTTGCTGTTAGGGGTGACTAAAGCATAAGGAGTGGGCCAGCTACCTCCCCATGTGTTTGCTTGTTCCACCCCCAGTTTTCTGGGTCTGTCCGCTAACATTTGCCTTGCCTGCCTTTTGGGGTTGTGAGGTTCATTTGAGAGGATGCCTGGACCCAGCTCTGTAAGGGGTGGATTTCCATTTGGAAGCTATTTCGAGCAGTCAAGGAAGTAAGTGCCTTGCACCATCAACCTGCAGCCTGTAGGCAGCAGAGGCACCCAGGGCCGCCATACGCCCATGGCTTGTGGAGCCTCCTCTCTGGATGCAACTAGGGGGAAACCTAGTGTTCCTGCAGGGTTGCTCAAAAGATCATCTTGAGGCAGGAAGAGAAATGTCATGGGATCCAAGATTTCAAGTTATGTCAAACGGTGTCTTCCCAGACCAGTAGTCCTCTCCGGGATTCATGTGGGCCTCAGATTCCTGGGGACCCGAGGCACAACCTCTGTTGCTGAGGCTGCTTCTCCTGTTCTGGGAACTTGCCTTCTGGCACTGGTGTCAAACAGCGGTGAGGTAGTGGAGGCTGAGAGCTGGGCCACGCAGCATGCCTGGAAGGAAGGCAGGGAGGACCACAGCTGGGCAGTGACTGAAGTCAGACACAGCCAGCGGCTGAAAGGTCCAGGAGGACCCTCCCTCCCCCATCCCATCTCAGCACACAGGTGCACACGGCTCCCCTTGCCTGGGTGGACAGCAAAGGTTTGGTTTGCCACTACTCAAAGGCATTTACTTTTTGTTTTTCATCTTTATTTCTGATTATAAAAGCAATGCATACTTAGAAGGAATTCAAACAATACAAACGTATAAACTAGAAAGTATGAGTCTTATTTTACCACATCCCATAAAAGTCAGTTATGAGATATGTTTCTGATTTCTTTCCCCATCTATGTATGTAGTGTATTTTGCAGAAAAGGAAGCAGGATACCAGAGTTGGGGTGGTTTCTGGAGGTTCCTGGTGGTTGAGTATCTCTCCCTTTGGAATGGTCTCCATGGTCCAGAGACCTGAACACCTCTTTTGCATCTTTGTCTTTCCACTGCCCATGCCAGCAGAAAGAGGGCGGGACTCCTTGGAGACAACGTGTGGAGGAGGCTGAGGGTATCTTGGCTCTCCCACCCTCGTCCCTCCATTCAGCAAACCTCCCCCATCCTTATGCAAAGGCCTCATTAGTTAGACTGTGAATGACTTACGTGGCCACTTTAGGAGGATTTTAATTTTAATTGTGTCATATGCATTACAAAACTCCTGTAAAGCTTGCTAAACTATGGGACCTATAATCTTCAAAACACTCAGGAAAAGGAGAGCCCGTAATCCCAGCCCACAGCCATTTTTATTTCTGATGGTTGCCTTCCAGCTCTTGACCACGTGCATTAATTAATCTGGTGCACGCTCAGCTAAAGGGGGATTTTTAGCATCAGTCAAAGGGGAGAGAGTTGGGGGTTTGGGGTGAAGGATTTCCGCTAAAGCTTGCTGCAAAGATTTGGAAGGCTGGTCAGCTGCTTAACATTTCAGGAACTGTTTATTACTGGACTTATTTCTTAATTTTTTAACTGCCGCATCACAGATCCTTTCCTGTGGTTTTGTTGGAGTTTGGAGATGGGATGGAGATCATGTGTCTGTTCTTTGCCGTGTCCCTGCCACACTACACTGCAAAACCGCAGGAGGGGACCTGGATGATCAACCTGAGACAAGGCAAGATTCTGGAACAGCAAATAAAAACGGTGCTGCTGGGCCATTAGGCTAGTACCAATTACTCCTGATTCAGGCCTGGTACACATGGTAATTCTTGGCATAGTTGATGTGAGTCCCAGTTCCCCATTGCCCTTGTCCTGCCAGGGTAAGGGAAGGTTCTGTAAAGCAGTTGAGCAGTTCACTCGAGTGTGGAAACTTTGAGCTGGAGTCAGCTTTTTTTTTTTTTTTTTTTAGATTTTTTTTTTTTTTTTTTTTGCCCCCAAAGCCCCAGTAGATAGTTGTATGTCATAGCTGCACACCCTTCTAGTTGCTGTATGTGGGACTCGGCCTCAGGATGGACAGAGAAGTGGTGCCTCGATGCGCACCCGGGATCCGAACCCGGGCCGCCAGCATCGCAGCGCGCGCACTTAACCACCAAGCCACAGGGCCGGCCCTGGAGTCAGCTTTTGAGATTCCAGCCGGCTCCGGCTGGGGCTCCCGGGTCCTCTCCGCTCCTCTGAGTTGTTGATTGTATCATGAGCCCATGATTCGGTGGTGTTGGGAAGCAGGGAGCTGGGAGTGTATTTGAGGCAGGAGAAGTGGCAGGAGGAGGAGGAATACAAGAAAAGGACCCTCAGGGGACGAGAGGAGAAGGAGCCAGTGAGCACACGCAAACAGGCAACCGATAAAGTCCCATTCCTTCCTTCCGTGAAGCTGATCTTGGCCTGCTGGGCCATGGCCCCAGAAGACAGGAAATCCCGAGTCTGGGCGGTCGGGAGGGCACTTGGAAACGCCTGCTGGGAATCCCTACAGGGCTTGCACAGAGTGTTTTTTAAAGTCTGTTTGTGTCTGCGGCGCTTTTGACCCCTTTTGCCCTGTCTGTTAAAGTGATTGTCACACTAGGAGGGGCAGGGGACATGAAACTGACTGCATGTGTCTTGCCTCAGAGATGAGGCTAGCCTGAGGTGCTATTGGAAGCCTCCTTGTTGAGGAGCTGGGGGGTTGGGGAGGGAGGCT